GTCCTCGAGCTTCCAATGTTCGAAGAAGGTCGAAGACGCCCTCAAGACCGCCCCAAGACCGCCGAAGACGCCCCAAAAGAGCGCCAAGACGGCTCCAGAGAACCTGCAAATTGCACACGAGGAGCCCCAGACGGCCCAAGAGGCCCCAGGATAGGCCCAAAATGGACCACAGAGCGGGAGCGGGAGGCCCCAGGGCGCTCGAAGACGGCCCAGATGGCCCGGGCCTCCCCTTTCTGTCCCTCCTTCCCTCCCACCCCCTCCTCCATTACCTCCTCTCTCCTCTTCTTCCCCTCACCCCTCAGTTTTCGTGCTTCTCCCTCCTCTCCTGGGACGGCCCCGCCAGAGCGCCAGACAGGCCCCGCCTGAGCGAGCGGGGCATCGCTATACCCTATCATTTCACAAGTTGCTTTGCCCGTCACACCCCTCAAGGGCGGCCCCGGCAGAGCGAGAGGGGTGTTGCTATAGCATATACAGTCCCTGTTACGTTTTGCTCTTCCCACCGCACCCGAAGTAGTTCCGTTAGAGCGCACGGGATGTGGTTATACCATAGTTTTCCTCAGGTTTCGTGCTCTTCCCTCCCCTCCTGGGCAAGCCCCGCCAGAGCGCCAGGGAAACCCCCGTTAGAGAGAGCAGGACATCCCTACACCATACTCTTTCACGCGGCTTTTGCTCCTCCCACCCTTGCAAGGCGGACCCGCCCGAGCGAGCGGGGTGTGGCTATACCATACAATAGTTTAGGTTTCGTGCCCCTCCCCCACCTCCTGAAAGGCCTCGCCAGAGCGCGAAGAAGGTACCGCCAGAGGCCCCGTCAGAGCTCCACGCAACCCCATACATGGGACTTGCCAGGCAAATCATTGAGCATCCCCCGTGACCCCGAGCCTTCTGTTCCCACGGGTGCGATTATCGCCGGCATGAGGTTTGGCGTCCAGCACAAAGAAGTTTCCCCACTCCCGTGGACGGACTCGACAGCAACTGATTGCAGAGAAGGGCACAGATGACGAGGGCATCTGCGCGCGCCCTCTGCAAATATCCGACAGCTGAACGACCGCTGTGAACGAGAAGCTTGGAGCACAAGGAAGAGGAAAATAACAACGCGCTCCCACGCGCGCGCAACGAGGCCCCGAGCCAACCCCAACATCAGGAACCTTCAGATGTCTGCGTGATCGGGCATGGGGAGATTGAGCAGATGTGCGAAATCATTGAATGTTGCGACGGGGCAGAGCGGAAATGAAAGTGGAGAAACAAACGCAGTTCGATAAACCAAACGAAGGCGGCAGCGAGATTGTGAGGTGCGCGGGAACGTGGCGCCCCGCGTTCAGACTACGCGTTTTTTTGCGTCTATGACATGGACCCGAGAACGCTGGAACTCGTCGTTGTGGCCACAGCGGGGTTTACAACGGCACCCGTGGCTCATCTGCGACTAGAACCTAAGCGCGCGCGTAGCGCGCGCGTGGTTCTAGTAAACATAATGTAAGAGGACTGCGTTTAGGAATACACCCGGTATTTTCTAGGAACACAAGATGCATACAAGAGGAAACCAGTAGAAAAACGCAGGAACACAATTGGAGTGCAGTCGGGATCCAAAAGGAAAACCACAGGAATGCAACATGAAACCTATATGAATTTAAAGGAATACGTCGGAAGACCATAGGAGTACAATAGGACTACACAAGGACAGCAATAGAGCAAGACGGGTGTATTATACAATCGGAGTCCCTTGAACATGTCTCGGCACCGCGCAGTAGCAACTACAGTACAATAGGAATCCCCTGAGAAACACAAAACAGTTGGGACACACTACAACATGAAACACCATATCATTCCAGTATGAAAACAACATAAAATTGAATCTGGTCGAAGTACAATGGGAACTCGAGAGGATCCCACTAGAAATCAAATTGACACGAAGGTGACGTGTGAAACATTCCTCTAGCGCTTCCCGAATACAGTCGTTTTACAGGCAGTAAGCAGGAAGAGTAAACGAAGGTGACTTTTGGCGCGACACGAAGGCGACATCCCTAGTACTACTACCACTGAGACTAAGACTGCTACTACTACCACTGCATACGATTTTGCAGTATACTATGGCTGCGACAACCCATACCCCAACAAGGTGCACAACTACGGATCGTAGTGCGAACATGATATGCCAATTGGTACCAACAAATTGGTACCAACATATCCCGACAAGGTGCACCACTGCTATACATAAGGATATGACAATTGGTACCAGCATTACTATTCATATTTATACGGCCCATCGTATTACGACTGCGACAACGACTAACTATCATAGAGTTGTTGTTCTTCGCTCCGTACGAGTACTGGTATTAGTATGTTTTTTTGGAGTAGGACTACTGTCGTGGCCTCCCGTGGCTACAGAAGGCCACGACGCCCGACCGATTCTTTCCGGCAGTCCACATGTTCGACCCTAAACATGTGTACAGATGTGTAGGGCCCTTACGCGCAAGTTTTTTCAGGGAACTTTCGGAGGTCCGCGCGGATTCCTTGGATCTGCGTTGGGCCCCCGTGGCGGTGCCTCCGGCGTCGCCCCTGGCACGCTCCGTGCGCAAGAGGAAGGAGGTCCAGCGCCGATCCAAGAAATCCGCGCGGACCTCCGAAAGTTGACGTCTATATATATGCAGGTTGTTCTTCTGCCAGCCCAGCGACTTGGAGGCACTCCACACCCGGATGACGCGCGGACAGGACATCGGGGACAGGTCGCCACGCCGCGCTCCAGAAGCGACTCAGGGGTCCTCCCGAGACTCCCCGAAACAGGGGGCCTAGAGCGCTCAAAGATCGCGCAGCGCCAAGGGTCAGAGGAACATGATGTCATAATCAGAGTGAGGGGGCCGAACGGTCATTCATTGTCCCTGGGTGCGTGGCTGAAGTGAGAATCCGTGGTGAGGATTATGTTTGTCGTTGTTGTTGTCTTTTGTTGTTGTTGGTGATGTTGTTGTTGTTGTTGTTGGTGTTGTTATGGTTGTTGTTGTTGTTGTTTGTTGTCGTCGTCCCACCCGCGACCCACCCGCGACCCACCCCGCGACCCACCCCGCGACACACCCGGCGACCTACCCGCGACCCACCCCGCGGCCCACCCCACGACACACCCGGCGACCCACCCCGCGACCCACCACGCGACCCACCCCGCGACCCAACCCGCGACCCACCCGTGACCCACCCATCGACCCACCCACGACCCACCCCGCGACCCACCCCGCGACCCACCCGCGACCCACCGCGCGACCCACCCCGCGACCCAACCCGCGACCCACCCGCGACCCAACCCGCGACCCACTTGCGATCCACCGCGACCCACCCGCGACCCACCCCGCGACACACACCCCGCGACCCCCCGCGACCCACCCCGCGACCCACCACACGACCCAACCCACGACCCAACCCGCCACCCACCCCGCGACCGACCCGCGACCCGCGACCCACCGCGACCCACCCCCGCCACCCCGCGACCACCCGCGACACCCACCCCCGACCCACCCCGCGACCCACCCCGCGACCCACCCGTGACCCCACCCGCGACCCACCATGACCCACTCATCGACCCATTTGCGACCCACCCGCGCGACCCACCCCGCGACCCACCCCGCCCCGACCCCCGACCCCGACCCATCCGCGACCCACTCGCGACCCACCCGCGACCCATTTGCGATCCACCCGCGACCCACCCCGCGACCCACCCGCGACCCACCCGCGACCGATCCACATTGGTTCGAAGAAAGGATCGGCGCCACCGTCGGGCTCCTCGTTGCATAATTTGGGGAACGTCGGCGCCTGCGGCGGGCTTTTCCAGAGTCTCGCAGACTGCCGACGTCCCCACCGCCCCCGCACTCTGATCCACATTTGCGGGGTGCTATGTAATCGTACGGTCCAAGATTTCTAAGGTTCCCAAGATTTCACATTGTTCATGATGTTCAGCACTGGCGTAGGTCCGCGCGGGACGTCGCTCCGCAGGACCCTCCATGGCAGCCCGCGAAAGCGGCGACAGTTTCGCAGGACGCAGCCCCCCAGGGATGGCGAGGTCTAATTTCGGTCCGCGTGGGACGCAACTCCGCTGGAACCCCCAGCAGCCCTCGAACGTGGCGACATCTTCGCCGATCGCAGCCCCCCAGGGATGGCGAGGTCTGATTTAGAGCCGTGTTGGACGTCACTCCGCTGGAACCCCTGGCAGCCCTTGGAAGTGGCGATCGTTTCTTGTATCGCAGCCCCCCAGGGACGGCGAGGTCTAATTTGGTTCTGCGTGGGACGTCGCTCCGCTATACCGCTATACCCCCCGACGGCCTCTAAAAGCGACGACCGTTTCGCAGATCGCAGCCCCCCCCAGGGATGACGAGGTTTTGTTTTGAGTCCCTTGTGGGTCGGCACTCCGCTTGACCCATTAGCACACTAGCAGCCATCGAAAGTGGCGACAGTTTCGCAGATCGCAGCCCCCCAGGTGTGGCGAGGTTTAGTGTAGGTCCCCGTGGGACGTCGCTCCGCTGGACCCCCTCAGCAGCCTGCGACAGTTTGGCTGGACGCAGCCTCCCAGGGATGGCGAGGTGTAGTGTCGGTCCGCGTGGAACGGCGCTCCGTTGGTCTCCCCAGCAGCCCGCGAACGTGGCGACAGTTTCGTTTATCGCAGCCCCCCCGATGGTGGCGAGATCTAATTTACGTCCGCTTGGGACGTCAATGCGCTTGACCTCCCAATAGCATTCAAAAGTGGCGACCGTCTCGCAGATCGCAGCCCCCAAAGGGAACCCCCAGGCAGGACGGCGAGGTGAGGTTGGAGGCAGGGTAGCAGGCAGGAGCCCAACGCAGGATGGCTTGGAACAAATATGGGACGTTGAGGGTATGAAGAACACCCAAGGCATGTAGGAGAAATGTTGGGAGTCCTCGGATTCCTGTCTAGTTCTTTGTGTGCCCCTGGGTCCCTCCGCACATATCGTGGGCCCTGGAGACGTGCGGACAGTCCACCCAGGAGTCCGCGGCGCGGCGGCGGGTAGTCGACAGCGGCTTCAAGATTAGGGGCGGCCTCGAGCATGCGCCTCACGGCCAACGCCTCGGGGTTGGGATCTACTGCTCCCCGCTGATCGAAAAGGCAGCGCAGTACGCGGAGGGGCCTCTGATCGTCGACGGCGTTCCGTACACGCTGGTCTTCCAGTGCCGTGTCCGGCCGTCGAAGTATGAGAAGCGGGAGAGCAATGTGTGGCTCGTTGAGAGTGCTGACGACATCCGGGCGTGCGGCATATTGCTCCGGAGGTCTTATTTCGTGGACGATCGAGAGATCCGCTACTGTTCAAATAATCCGTACCGGCCTGTGTCAGGCAAGTGGAGATTCTACGAATTGTTGCGGCATGCCCGCACGGTGAAGGAAGCTCGCGCTTTGGGCAGGAGTTATTTGGACCTCCATAAGGACTTACTCAAAGGTCGCCTTACGCTGCGGGGTTCAGATTGCAATGCGATCAAGGAAACCTATTCCAAGTCAAAGCGCGACCTGCACGGGCGATTGCTCGGCCTTGGTATGCCGAAGCGACACAAGGCGAGTGGGCCCAGCGAGTGGCTTCCACGAATGATGTCCGGCAGGAAGCGCGGTCATCCACGCGGCCAGATCCAAACGCCAAGTGTCGCAGATAGCAGGGCCAGCGCTTCAGGATCGGCTGGCGTCCGACTTCACGATCGTGAGCCAGTCGATCGCGAAACTCCCGCCGTCGTCGTACGACCAGACGGGGGTTCGGACGTGCCGCTGACTTTGCACTCTGCTCTCAAAGGGATCGGCTCCGAGGCCAACCATGGTAAGCTCAGCCGTGAGATCCCAGGACCGCGCGACGACAAGGGTAGAAAACACAAGAAGGAAAAGAAGAGCAAGAAGGACAAGAAACACAAGACAGGCAGGAAGGACAAGAAGAAGAGGAAGCACAGTGATGAAGCGAAAGATGCAGAAATTCGAACAGACTCCATGGAGCGGTTGCGAGAAGCTCTTGACTTGCTAGCGACCAGGCTCCAGGCAGGCGCTTGCTAGCGTCTCCTGACAAGCTTTCTGGAGCTTGCTTCTGGCAGGGATGTATTTCTCTTTGCAGTCACAGGTGCCCGCTGCATGGACGAGAGAAACAAAAAGCTTCGAATGTGAACATGTGTCACAAGCAAGTGTTTTCCAGCGTGGACCCCGAACAGTGATCCCTTGAGTTCTGGCATTGTAAACTATGTTGTGCAAGCTACATCGTGCAATTCGTGTTGTGTAAGCTATGTGGCACAAGTTATGTGGTGTAGCCTATGTGGTGCAAGTCGTGTGGTGCAAGCTCTATACAGTGCGAGCTATGTGTTGCAAGTTGTGTGTACCAAGATTTGTGGTGTAAGCTATGTGGTGAACGCTACGTGGTGCATGCTACGTGGTGCAAGTTATGACGTGCAAGCTCAGTGGTACAATCTAGGTGGTGCAAGATATCCAGCTGCTTGCGGCAAGTCCCGCCACCGTGCCAGCCCGGCGTTCTGGGTGGCGACTGTTCGAGGGGGCACGGGAGTCCGTCATGTGAGACACTTCGTGTCTCCAGGGTTGAGGAGCCGTGATAATGATGAGGGTGATGGTGATGGTGAAGATGATAATAGTGGTGGTGATGATGACGACAATCGTGATGATGATGATGATGTTGATGATGATAATGAAGTGAAGATAACGTCGATGATGTTGATTATGCTGATGGATATGATGATGCTGCTGATGATGATTGGGATGCTGATGGTGGTGATGATGATTGCAATGTCGATGAGGATGATGATGAAGATGATGATGAAGATGATGATGCCGATGCATCTGACGATGATGATGATGATGATGATGATGATGATGATGATGATGATGTTGATGATGATGATGATGATGATGATGATGATGATGATGATGATGGTGACGGAAGAACACGGGACCATCTTCACCGACATTGGCGCGTAAGTTGCCCGCGTAAGGTCGTGCGTCAGCTTTCTGGTTGCCAATTTAGCGTGTCACGCTGGCGGCCCGCGCAAGCCGCGGCATGAGGTCCCTATGTCATTTGTCGCCGCGTCGTTTGTTCCGACGCGCGGCCTTGCGTCTTGGGGAGGGCGCCGCGGGCACCAGGGCAGACACCGCCTCGGACGCAGGGCTTCCCGTGGGGTTTGCCGCGGCGCCGGCTGTGTCTTCTTCGGCGCGGGACGCAGGGCTTGCCGTGGGTCTGCCGTGGTGTCGGCGTCGTCCACCCGGGCGCGTCGAGGACACGGCGCGGCGACATCTCGCGCAAGACCGGTTTGGTTTCGTCCCTCATGTCTCCGTCGTCGTCGTCGTCGTAGTCGTCGTCGTCGTCGTCGTGACGGCCGCCCCTGTGATGGGCATGTTTTCCACCACCACCACAAGTTGGATGGGGGGAGGGATGAGGAGGAGGAGGAGGAGGAGGAGGAGGAGGAGGAGGAGGACGAAGAGGAGGAGGAGGAGGAGGAGGAGGAGGAGGAGGAGGAGGAGGAGGACCCCCTCCCCCTCCAACTTCTGGTGGTGGTGGTGGTGGGTGGAAGCCCCTGTGTCCGGGGAGGCCCGCGCGCGCACCTCCGCGCCCCTGCCTCCGGCGCGCGCGCCTCTCGCCCCGAGCCGCCGGTGCGCGCCCCCTCGGCCCACGAGCGCCGCGCTCCCACGCGGCGTGCCGCCTGGCGGCCACGCGCCAGACCCAGGCCAGCTCGCGTGGCGAAGCAGGCACGACGGAGCAACAGCGCACACCCATAGCCAAAGGGGGGGTCGGAGAGGGGTATGGGTGCGCGCTGTCGGAGGGGGGTCCCCGCTCGAACGGAAGGGTTCCCCAGGGTCCGACAACCCGCACCCATACCCATAGCCAGTCCTCCTCCTAACGACCCCCATATGTATATGGGTGTGTGTGTGTGTGTTGTTCGTTCGTCACTGTTCGGCCTCCGGGTGGCCTCGCCGGGCCTCGGGACCGACGAAAAGCGACTCGGGATGAAGAGCCGGCCGGCCCTGAGAAAAAGGTCGGGACTTCCAGGGGCCCTGTACTGAAAAAGTCAGGGCGTCGCATGGCTGGGGAGTGACAATTCGCCTTTGTGACCTTGCAGGGATCCTTTTGATTCCCCCGACTCGATTCGATTCGATTTCGATCGATCCCGATTCCGGGTCGAATCAGGGTTCTCCCCGGCTGTGGCTTGCGCGCATGGATTTGGCCCCCGCGGCGCCCCCCTCAAGCCGCATACCAGAGTTATCCAAGGGACACCCTTGCATCCTTGCCTCCTCGTTCCATCCTGGGCTGGGCCACTGTCGTTGGCCGCGCCCCGCTCCACAAGCTTCGAAAGGGGCGTCCAAGGCCCTTGCATGCCTGTCGCGCATTCTTACTATACGGGCTGACTGTATATACCAGATCCATATCCATATAACTGGCATCACCTGATCTCGATGCCGATCCCAGGGCTTCCCTAGGCTTCTGAGGGCGCATCCATCGGAATGGCACCGTCTTTGGGCTTGTCAGCCTTGGGGGTAGGGGTGAGGTCGAGGCATGCGGCATGTTACACAGGTCACTCTTGCTCAGGGGTCACTCCTGCGAGCAGGCGGACAACAAAAATGAACCCGCCGCGAGCCAGATTCGGGGAAAGCCTCCCACTGCATGGGCGCAATGCTTGGCATTGCTCGGCATTGCTTGGCACTGCTTGGCACTCCTGCTCAGGGGTCGCTCTTGCGCCCAGGCGGGCAACAACCCCAGCAAAAACTCTTGCGCGCAGCCGGCCATGCGGCTCTTCGTGCCCCTGGCCGTGGCCGGCGCGCTGCCGGGCGTCGCCCCGGCGGGCGCCGAGCGCCGCGAGGCTGGGCCGCCGCGCGGCCGCCGCGCCGCGGCGCCGTCGTTGAACGTCCACGTCAAGGCTCTGGGAACGCACCATCACATCAGAAGAATTCCCACCACATCAAAAGGACCCAGCTCCCTCCCTCTATCCCTATCTCTCCCTCTATCCCGCCCACTATCCCTCGCTCTATCCCTCTATCCCTCTATCCCTCCCTCTGCCCTCCCTCCCTTTATCCCTCCTGCTCCTCCTGCTCCTCCTCCTCCTGCTCCTTCTCCTCCTCCTCCTCCTTCTCCTCCTCCTCCTCATCCTCCTCCTTCTCCTCCTCCTCTCCCCCTCCCCCTCCCCACCCCCTCCCCCCCTCCCCCTCCGCCTCCTCCGCCTCCTCCTCCTCCTCCTCTTTCCTCCTCCTCCTCCTCCTCCTCCTCCTCCTCCTCCTCCTCCTCCTCCTCATCATCATCATCATCATCATCATCATCATCATCATCATCATCATCATCATCATCATCATCATCCTTCTCCCTCTGGCCTCCCAACTGGGCGACGCAGAAAAGGGGTCGACTGCGCCGACATTGGCGCGTAAGCTGCCCGCGTAAGCTCGCGCGTAAGCGCCCTCGTGTCCAGTAACGCGTGCCGCGCTGGCGGCCCGCGTGGGCCACCGCGTAAGGTCGCTATGTCTCTCGCGTAAGACCCGTTTTTGATCGTCGCTCGAATGGGGTCCGAGTAGATGGGGTCGGAGGGTCGCTCCGCATTCGGCTACACCTGCGGGTGCCCCTTCGCCAGAGGGACCTTTGGTGCGGGCCCAGAGGGGCCCTCCCCCCGTGGCCCCCTGCTCTGGTTTGCGAGCCAGGATTAGGCCGTGGCCTCCTAAAGCCGCGCACCAGAGGTCACTCTTGCTCAGGATCACTCTAGTGCGCAGTCCACACTTCGCCGACGCATCGAGGATGCGGCTCGATGCGGAGCCCGATGTTCTGCATGCTGACGCCGCCGATATATCGCCAAATTCGCCGATGCATCGGCGGTGCATCGCCGCTGCGGCGCGATCCTCCAGCCCCATCTACTCGGACCCCATCTGGGAGGCCTTTAAAGGCGGATGCCGCCCTGGCGAGGGTGGCCATCGAGCTCAACAGCAAGCTCACCGAGCTGTGCCCGACCAACGGCATCACCTTTGGCCCCGGGGGCTGTTGCGACCCGCACAACACGCTGTACATGACCGCCTACGAGCAGGGGGCGCAGGCGCACAACTACTCGTCGGTTGGGGAGTCGCTGCAGAACGTTGCCAGGCTCTTTGTGGCGCCGTGCAGCACGACGCTGCGACCGCCCTACGTCAGTGGCACCTACGTCCTGTGGGACCTGGATTACGCCCACTGCCTTGACTCGCTGGCGGGCGCGACGGTGAGTGAGCTGCGGGGCCTGGCCCTGAAGTCTCAGCGGGTGCCCGGGTGGGTCATGGACTTGCCAGAGCCCGCCCGCACGCAGAAGGCCACCTGTGTGAGCTTGTATGGCTCGCCGAACGTCTTCTTCCAGTATGAGCCGCACATCAGCATCGGCTACGTCGACAACGATTGCAAGGGCTATGAGGGGGGCCTGGCAGCGGCAGTCCAGGCCGCCTATGCAGCGGTCCCTGCAGCCAAGACCGCCGTCGCCATCATGGAAGAGATCGGCTACGCGGTGTCTGGGCCTTATGGCACGGTACCGCAGGGAGGCGAGCTCGGATCTGTCAAGCTCCTTGGCACTGAGAGTGCCGCTTGGCAGGCTGGCGAGGGTAGTACCAGGCTGCTGAGAGAGTACCTACTCTAAGACGATAGCACTGCATAAATATACACGTGTGACGGTCCGCGCGGATTTCTCGGGTCGGCGCCGATCCGAGAAATCCGCACGGACCGTCGACGATCTATGTTCGTGCAGTTTTTTCTCAGCATACCACAGGGAAGCTTCGTGAGCTCCAACACGATGCCGCTCGAGCATTGGGCCCTTTTCTTCACCACCCATGTAGGTCACACCCCCTCATCACCCGCCCGAGCAGCTCGCAGTGGTCGTTGGCTCCAGGCCGCGGCTACAGTGCCCGGTGCACTCCGCCCTGTCGCCGGGGGCGACCGCACCCAGAGGTTCCGTAAGCTCCAGCTCGATGCAGCTCGCAGTGAGTGTTGGCTCCAGGCCGAGGCTGCTGTGCCAGGTGCTCTAAGGCCTGCCGCCTCGGGGCGACCGCACCTAGGGCGGACG